ATACAAATTAATTGAGAGAAAGAATGTAAATGGAATTCAATTCTATAAACCCAAATTTTGAAATTGACACTTTTCAAATTTTATAATTTTGTAGTTTAAAATATAAATGTTGCTACCATTGAACCCTCTTAAAATTGTCCAGTAGATTCATATGTAAATTATTTTTAATTTTTCTCATGTTCTTGGAAACAGATGGTATAATTTCTTTCAGAAAAAATAATGATAATATTAAATGTAGTGGACACATTTTTAAATATGAAAAGATATGGAATTGCAGTTTTGTGTGGAAAAAAAACCTGTGGCTGAAAATGGCTGTTACGTAGTACCTTATGTGCCCTGTCGTGTGGGACAAGTATGCTGCTTTTCTGAACAATTCAGAAAAGCTGAATTGTCCTTATCTTTCTTCTGCTTTTCTTTAAGCAGGGTTTAAGTGGTTTCCTTTCCACTTGGGGCTTTCCTCGAATTATGTTGGGCTTCCTTTCTCTTCCTCTAAAGTTTCTCCCGCTGCCATGTGGCTGCTTGTCTGTCATGTGCCTGACCCACCTGCCACATTAAAATGGAACGGCCCTTCTTCTTCTTCTTCTTCTTTCCTCTCATCTCCTTACAGGCAGCTGCTGAAGTTTTATGCCCCACCTGCCTTGGGGTTTTTCTCTAATAAAATTGTCTTTGAGCTTTAAAAAAAGAAAGAAGAGGAGGAAGGAAATGACTGTTCTATTATCCCATAGGAAGTGAAGAGCTGTAGTGTGGAAGCTGAGTAACCGTCAAAGTGAAAAACAGTTTAAGGGACAGTTGACCCTTGATATTACATATGACGGAAATTTCTAAAAATGCGTTTTTAGTTTTAAATAAGCACAATGTTTACTAAATAAATATATGAACTTAAAAATATGATACCTCTCTACCATATATAGTTGTGCAATCAATATTGTTAACAAATTCATTCTGTTTTATTAATGTTGAGGATGGAGAGATAACGCAGTGGATAACTGCATACTGCTCTTGCAGAGGACCTGAGTTCAGTCCCCAGCACCTGTATCAGGTGCCCCAAGACCACCTGTAATTTTAGTTTCACAAAGTTTAGCACTGTTTGGCCTCCACGGACTCCTGAGTTCACACAGACACACAATATACTTTAATTATTTTTCCTCTCACTGTCACCATACAACTCCTTGCATACCCCCATTACCCCCATGTGTATTCTTCAAATTTCTTTTCTTCTTCTTCTTCTTCTTCTTCTTCTTCTTCTTCTTCTTCTTCTTCTTCT